CATGTAAATATACCCGCGATAAACGAGTCAATCGCGAATATTATTATGAAAAGTATCCAACGCGTTAACAATTCGATTAATCGCACTGCCATTCGCGAACTTTTCACGAAGCCAAAGAGATATTTCGCTCGATAGGGGATTTATTACAAAATAATTTCGATAGAAATTCAAAATTAGACAACGTTGAGAACACAATAATGAAACACATATCTAAAAGAGAAATCAAAAGAGTTACAAGTGAAACGGTGTACAATAATCCGTTTACGCGTACTGGAAGGGTTGAAAATCTGCTGCCATAAAACTCATCGCCGAAGGGGAACAAAGAAGCGAGTGGCCGGCGTATCAGTCGCACGGATAAAAAAAGAATGGTGTAAAAATCCCAGACAAAATGGCGACGAAATCCGTTCGGCGGAAAATCATAAAACAACCCCCGGACGGCGGACGTTCGGCGCTCAAAGCGGAACGGGGGCCGTGAAATGCGAAGGAGAAACGGCGGAAAAATGTCGAATGATGGCGGTGACAATGGGCCGGGCGAGGCGCAATTTTTTCGCGATACTTCCGCAATAATTGTCGTTTTCCGGTGTATCGAGGCGCGGGGCCGGCTACGAAGTGGAATGGGTACCGGCAAAGAGATAGTGTCACAGACAGAACCGTAGTTCCAGGGCACCGTTCGCGGCGGTACCTGTGTGCAAGTACCGAGGCTGTACCGACACGGGAACAAGTACAATAGGCCAGTTTCGGGGACAATAGCCGCGGCCAACAATCAAATCAGAGCGCTATCAGCCGGCCACCCACCCCATCCGCGTTTATCCTTTGATCCGGTCGCTCGCCTCGCTCGCTCGCTCGCTCGTGCCCCGGCAAACACTCCTGATTGCACACCCTCTGTGTTTAAACAGACCCGAACTCTACCTTCTCCACCCCCTTCACCGATTCTCCGTCCTCCTCCGGCAGCGACCTCCTGCCTCGCTCCTCTCGCGCGTCCTTCCACCTAACCGTTTCTCTTTTCGCCGGTTCCGTGCACCCCCCTGCAGCTCGGTTTTTCTTCTCACTGTTTTGCACGCGACGGCCATTTTCGGACGACAGGAAAAGTTTCTGTTCGAGTGTTCTCTACTCCGAGTTTGATTAATTTCTATGTAGCCTTCCTCGTTTTCTCGTTCCTCGAGGGGGTCGCTGTATTTAGCTGTGAACTGCAGTGGGAACGGATGGCGAAGTGTTCTTGTACTCTGTTCATTTCGAAAGGCTTTGGGAGGATCGATATATCCTACGAATATTGTTTTGATGATCTACTCTACAGTAAATTTGTTATCTACACTGATTAGACGGTGGATTTCGATCAAGTCCGCGATTAACTCCCTCGTTGTTTGGTCTCGAGCGACCCACCCCTTCCTGTTCAACCCCTTAACGCCATCTACCCCTCGCGTAGCAGTATTTGAAGATTCCGTGGGAGAATTGGGGGCGACCGTCCTTGCGTCTGCACTTTGATGTACGTTTTCTTTCCTCTTCGGGGTAGTTTTATTCCATTTGAACTCTGTTACCGGGTCCTCGGGACTCGGGCTCTTCCGAACGAAGGATTCGTTGAGAAATAAATAGGAATGATAGCAGGCAATTGTTTTCAAATATTCTACGCAACAGGGATGATGAATTTGCAATACACCAGACCCTCGATTCACGCGGACTTTCTTCGCGCGAGCCTCTTTTTACACGGTAAATTGGGAGTTCAGCAATTTACGCGATCTGAATTTAGTAACAGCGAATAAAATATACTCTTGTTCTCTAAAGTGTCATTACTATTATATCTTTTGTTAAACTATGAGAAATAAATGTATTTCTAAAACTTCTACCAGCTTTTCTCTTCAATACTTTTTCTCTTGTACCGACGCTCTATTCGCGCGACTTTAGTTCGCGTAAAACGAACCCATGTGGATCGGATTTTCGCGTATATCGAGGGTCAGATGTACTTTGTACGAGATGCACTTTATACGTGCATTACCTCCAGTCTTTCCAGGGTTAACGTGGCTCCCGTACACGAAAGCAACCCTTAACGGTGTTTAATGTCTAATTTAGGGTTGTGCTCGGGCACACCTGTGAACACGTGGTAGGAAGTGACGGTAGAGTTATCAGGGAGACGCACGTGCCGGCTCGACGCACGGAATCGCACGTGCGGTTGAGCCGCTCTTGCGGAAACGCATCGTTACGGAGAGGCGTCGCGTCGCCTCGCGCCGCGCGCGGCGACAAGGATGCGCCACTAACCGAGGACGCTGCTTGTAGATCTTATCGCGATCAACGGACCGGCGGTTGACGAAACTGAGCGGTTATTCCGATAAAGGGGTGCGAACTTAATCCACTTTACTAATTCTATGCTAATTACAGGGTCTCGTTTGTACGAATGCGTGGAGTTCCTCCAAAGGCTTCCGTTGCAACATTAGCCGATACTAAATGGTAACTCTCTCGATACAGTTCGTTATCTTCTCGTAAATGTATTAAATATCTGTAGCTTCAGTTTCAATTCGCAAAGAATGACATCGATTTACAATAATGAATTATTGCGTGTATTCACTGATTAAAATGTAGAAACTTGGAAGCCAGAGGAAAGCTTGACTCTTGGAGGCACACGATTTTAAAGAAACAACCCAAGCTACAGAGTTCACTACGCGATTCGTCAACCTTAATCGCAGTGTAAATGTTTGTTTTCGCTTATTTACGCGTTTATCGTTAATTTATAGCATTGCCAGTTGGATGAGAAACTTTAAGTAAAATATCAAACTGTACGACTATGAGTAACTTCAATTTTTTGAAATAAAAGGTAAGCAAAGGGTGGTTTTTAACTCACCCAAAGAGTTACAGGCAGTTAGAGAGATGTTCTAAGATTTGTTAGAATTTCAGGGACTGAAAGATCGGATGCGCGGGGACGTCTAATTTCTGGTAACTCGCGAGTACGGAGTATTGCCAAGCGGAATCCATTTAGGTGGGAATCAGAGGAAGCTCCTCAATTCCGAAGGACGCGCTCACCTCGTCAGATATGTTTGCGTCGTGGGTTCAGGTTCGATCGAAGCGTAACGGGCCGTTGTCTTGGATGCGGGTACCTGGGATCAACGGCAAAGGGATGGAGAAGGTAGGAAGTAGGAGGATCCAAGCAGGGACACCCCCTTAGAGCGTCGCGGGACCAGCTGATTGCGAGTTCAGAGCAGCGTACGATCCTCCACAATCAAGCCACGTCTCTTTTGGATTGATAACTCCAAACGTATTCGACGATTTAACGCTATTTACGAGAAACAGAATATCGTATCATTTATTTGATGCTCCTAAAGTGTAGTCCTCTGGATAGCAACTATACAAGTTCAAAATTGAAACGATTCCTCTGCCATCGTCATTTAACTTCAATATTCAAAGATCCTTGTTGCTATACTCCAAAGAACCTGAGTATAAAGAAGAGAAATCAAAGAACCAGGTTCCTTAGATTTCCAGTACCTTCGAAGGGTAAAGATAATCCAAAAACGAAGAACTGAACGATACATCTCAATCAGACATCCTAACAGACCAATCAGCCCATGTCGTAACTCTTAAAAACTTAGACGAAACCTGAAACCTCCGAAAACTTCCTCAATCTCAACAAAACTCCCCCAATTTAAAAAGAAACAATTCCCAGTTCACTTTCCACTCAAACACGACCAGCAATTAATCATCAATCCGCCTCATCATTCAATTTAATGCATTGAACACGGCGCCAGTACTAAGGATCCAGCAGTGGACTTTTCGTTCACCTTCATCATTATCTTCTGTTTAAAATTAGTATACTTGTGCATCATCTGTACCATGTACATCCTAGACGAAAGATGAGCTGGCAAAACGAAGTCGTCAACGCGTCGTGGATATTGTCTCTATCCCAAATATCCGAGCGCTCGCTGGCAAGTGCCGCCTGAACGGACACGCCAGCAAAATCGTCGCCGCGCTAACGCGTTAACAGGTTCAGGCCTTTGCTCCTTAACCGTTTGAGTGCTGAGGAGCGCTATAGCACCCTTCTTATATTGTGCCAAAATTGCGGAGAGCGCGGAGGCGCTTCTGTTTATCAGTGTCAATTATAATTTTCTTACTATATTCTTCAAGAAATAAATCCAAATTTATTTGAATAAATGTTTTCTGATATTTTTTTGTAATAACACAATATTTGTGATCTCATTAGATACTACCCTTATTAATTCTTTTGCATACACACCCAACCACTTCCGCATTTTTGGTGAATATCAACATTGTTTAGCATCCAAATACGACGTAAGACGCATGAACAGAAAGTGAACGAAAATATCGACAGTTAACGTGCTAAGAGTCGACGTTAACAGAATACCATGAATAACCGGAAACCGAGGGGCAACGGGGTCGCGATTCCGGGACAGGAGCAACAAACCCCCTATCGCGGCGAGGAGGAGCGGCGGATAGCCGGTGATCGATCCTCCGTCAGGACGAGAGGGGTTGTCGAGGATTATGCACCCTCCGAGGTGGAAGCCGCCGGCCGATTGGTCGGGCACGGCCACTCCTCTAGGCGTTCCCTGACTCCGGCCAGGACAAACCACGCAACCACGCTGTGCACACCATCCACCGGTCGCAACGTGGTGGCTCCAGCTAGTACGCGTCGGAGTGGAGGCGCCTCAGTTCACGAAGTGACTTCGTGTCGCACGCATCGACGCTGTAATACTTCACGCGTCCTGAACTCTGCTCCATCGCTGTACCCGCGGGGGATCATCGATATAGCCCGGTAACCTTTCCGTCCGTCCCGGGTGAAGGAGACTGTCCAGGATCTGTGGATTTTGTTCGACGATCAAGTGCCCCCGAGATTTGCATTATGAAGAGACGAAGTTGAACGTTCTCGGCGACAGTTCCTTAGAGTCAGTGAAGTGCCCCCTGGTCGGAGGAGCTAGCCGCACGCTGGACCGCTGTGATCCTTTGGAACTCGGTACAGAGGCAATCAGGACTTTCGCACCGCTCGACACGAAGCAGACACGATTATGGTAGTTCTGTAAGTATTTCCTGCGGATTTTCCTGTTGCTTGGCAGACAACTCGAGCGAGACGTGGACGGGGGTGGTAAGGGGGTGGATCACGGGGGATAGTCGTTTCCGTGAGATGCGCGGTATATCGTTCTTGAGGTGTTGAACGAGGGTTCGATTGAATTTAGTAACTGGTTCTTGGTTGATCCCTTAATCGTGAGAATTTAGGATTTGTATTGGGAGTCAGGTATTGTATAGAGGGTGTAGTAGGTGGTCATTCAGTGTTTCGGGGCATTTATAGGAGCTTCGTCTCACTGTAACGCGGTATTGTCATTACTGATACTCCTTGGTAGCTGTAAACTAAAATTCTGACTTTAGAGAATTTTCAAGCGAAAGTTGGGAGATTATCTAATGCAGAAGTAGATGAATTACGGTTATTAAATCAGCAAAGGATACATTAGACGTATGTAATAAGTTCTCCTTTCTTTCACTGCCAAAGATTCAAACTACAATATAAACTTCTCCAAGTGCACCACGGCGAGTTTATTTGGAAGTTTTGAATTTCGAGCATCGCCTATTTCGGATTCGAATAGAGTTCAGATTAAACGGAACTGGGCGTGAGTTAATCGGAGCGTTTCATGGAAATTCGGAAACGTCGGAGCAGGTGGCGACCATTTCGGCATCGATTTCTCTTCCTGGACGAGCAGCAAGATTTCCCTAGTATCTAATCAGTGGGCGTTCTGCGGGTTTCTCATTGGTGTGTGGGCGTTATCACGGAGCCCGATTGGTCGATGGGTATTCTAGTGCTGTGTCGTACACATGCGCAACGTGCCACGCTGCGTACGGCTGCTGAATACGAATATAACGGATGTGATTCGCAAATTGTATGACGAACTCCGGCAATGGAATCGCTCGCACCGACTCGCAGGTTATCGCTTTTCTTTGGCTGTTGGATCGATAGAGCGTATCGCCAAATTTGAACGGCGATAGAATTGTAACCGTTTAATCCATCTATGTAGTAGGGCGAGTGGAAATAACATTATCGGTCGCCTTTCGTGTCCTCTTTCTCTTGTTTCGCGGCTCGATAAGCTCAGAATTCAGCTGAATTGTGTAATTATAAATAACGACACGTATCACAGATAAGTTCTATATTCGACCAAGTTAAAAGTTTATTCGAGATACTGAAATATCGCAATTGAGGTATTGTTCCTCTCTCTATCCTTGATACTACTAAATACATTTAGCATATAGCGTAAATTGCATCAATTTCTATTCTTACGCGATGACTTCAACTAGATAATATATTCCATGCCTCTTTCATCGTCAATTTATAGGCCTATAGATATCAATTGGATTTTACATCTAACAATACATTATCTAATAACTTGAATTAGACTCTCGCTTCTAATCGGACAATCCACTCGGCAATGGAAGTAATCGCCGCCGATAAATCAATTCGAAAGAAAACGAACGTTCTCCAATTCGCGAAACCTGAAAAGTGAACGTTCCACGAATTGCCGGAGAACAATGAAACTTACACGGATTTTCCGTCGAATCGAGAGAAATCGCTCGCACGGGTCGCGATTAAGGGAAGGAACAAATGACGGCATCAATCGTGCGACTCCCGACAAGACCCGGCGCGGCGCGTTCGCCGAAAAGGATAATCGAGCGGGCCAACTGGAAAGGATCGTCGCCGTCTATTCGTGAAAACCCGATTACGGATGTACCCGCGCCACGCCATTGATCACGGCCCAACACCTCGAAGACAGATTAAACGAATGTCCGCGGGTAAAACGATCTCCCTTTATCTCGAATCTCGAGAACGTTCTCTCCCTGTCCGCGGCGGTGAGGAAGTCTTTCAGACCCGCTCGCTCTTTCTCTCCGCTCCTCTTCCTCTCTCTTTCCCTCTTTCCCTCGGATCCTCGTCAGGATCCTTTTATACCGCTGCGAGCAAATGGAAGCTGACAGTTTACTCGGTATTAATGATGTCCCACGTTTTTCGGCGAGGAGCTTCTTTTCGCGAGACCTCCGATGCCGCGCTAAACTTCGATTCTAACAACTCTTGATTCACCGACGGGTCGCTATAGGTTGTAGTTTATAGCGTTTGCGCGTTGCACCGCTATTATTTTCCGATGCTAGAGCGTCAGCACGCGCGAAATCGGGGGAACGGCACGTTTATTAGCGATGGTACGGAATACAGCTAGATAAAACGCGGTGAGTCTCAATGAATCGAGATGGAATCGAACAAAACCCGTTCAGCCGGGCTTCCCATTGATTCCACGGTGTGCGCTTTCGGACGCGTGTAAATCGAGAGGCGACGAAACAGGTTGAAGGAAACGGAAGATTAGAAAGGAAACGCGAAACGTGTCGTTCGGACTTGTATTGTAACGTAGAACGTGGATGATTGTGTTTCAGCGATCGGAGAAGATTATAGAATTCCGTCATTAATCGGTGCACTCGGAATTGCGTCAACTCGGAAATTCCTGTGAAAGGATCGTAAAATCGGAACGCCCCCCACTGTTCGCTGCTCGAAGTATAATTAATCAGAGAGTAAAACCGTCTCTGTTTATTCCTAAGTAATTGGTTCACAAGTAGGTTAAAGGATGCCTGACTTTCATCGACAGCGTTATTTTTTAATGTTAGCTTTAACGCTCATTACGGATACTGAAAGGTGTGCGACTTTTGTAGGTCAGAGTTTCTCTGCGATATAATTTTGAATTAAACGTACATGTGTTCCTTAATTTACATGGGAATGGGACAGTTGCAATAGAACCGCGTAAAACAGGGAAATTTATGAAAATACGAGCGTCGTATATGGCCGGAGAGTAGGCAAATAAGAAGTCTGTTAGCGAATAATAACGGAACGCACGATTCCCGGCCGCGAAATAGTCCGAGATAATATCCCGCGGACCGCCAACGCGATATCATCGTCTACGCGATCAGTTCGATTGACAAACCTTTAAGATCTCTCGAATTCTCTGCGCACGATTTACCGCTGGACCTAACCGGCTTGATCGACGGCTATAGAAAATATCCGGATAACCAACTAAACTTTCTTATCACTCGTGACACAAATATCGCATTCTCATTCGATCTGCTCTTACATCTACCACAACCTCCAAGGTAAACATAAAACCAACCATTCAAGCATTCCTCCTTCGGAAACACCACACTCAAATACACACGAAACGCCAAAGAAACCACGAAAACCATAAAAATCGCACCTCTTAACCTCCAAACTTCAGAAAGCAATGAAAGACCTCTACTCCCACAGCAACATCGCTGAACAAGAGAAACCTATACGAGTCACTGCAAAGTTATCATCGATGCACAGCAGAAATCCCCCGTTAAACGCGAAGCTCGGTCCGCTCGCTAGAATTAACTCGTTTAGACGTTAATCTGAGAGGACGATCCAGCTAGTCTATCGAGCGAAGCAAGGGCGGGCGGCGCGGGGGAGGAGGAGGAGGAGGAAGAAGAGGAGAGAAGAGATCTCGCCTGAGTCGGGGCAGAAGCGTGATATTTTAGCGAGCTCGCGGTATCAGCCTTAATATCTGAAATTCTGAAGGCACCCATACCGACCGGAACGAGGATATAGTCCCTGGTCTCCCGTTTTTTCTTCCCTTTCGCGGCTCGGCTCGGCCGGCAGGGTCCACCGGGGATCTCGCCGGTGTGCGTTCGTATCTTGGCCGGTCGCCGCGAGTCTGTTCGAACCGCGGCGGGACAATCTCCGCGCAGCATCGTCCGCCGATGTATCATCTTACGCCGGTGCTAAAGGCGATGACTTTATCACCGATCCGGGCAATCATTCACCTAGCCTCCTCTCGCGCCACCTCGCCTCCCCGCGGCCGTGCGCGTCCCTTTTCCTCCCCATCGCGCGCGCGCTTTCTACCACCGTGCCTCGCGAGCCCGGGAACTCGCCTCCCTTCGCGCCCCGCCGAAAGGTGTCGACGTAACAACCGTATATAAGTAAAACGCTTTGCGTGCCGGAGAACGCGACCCATCTCTTCCCGTCTCGTTCTCCCTTTCGCCAGCTTTTTCTTTCTCGCCTACTTTTCTCGTTTTGCCTTCAGCATAACGGATCGAGCGGACGCGAGCCGTGGAATTATCGCCTCGAACGCAACGCGGACGGGACCCGAGGTAGCTGCCGGTCGAAGCCGAAATAATTACGGTTCTGATCTAACCCGTGAGCAAACCGCGTCCTTACAGAAATTGTTCGTTGGTGGGGTGGTTTCGGTACCGTTCGGTTTATTAATACGGTGGAATATTTGGAGTTTGAGACATTGGATTTTGATTTCCTTGGAGAACTGCTTCTAGGGATCCTTTCTTTATCCGATATCGTGTAAATTATTTATACAAATGTTTCATGCTTAACCCTTGAAAAACCAATGCAATACATTACACTTTTATTAACCCTCAGCACTCCAGATGGTTTTTTAATCGATCAGCAACTGCAATTAATTTTTATATCTCCAGTGAAAATGAAAAGTGCTACATTCCTTCGATCTTTTATTTTCCTTCTCAGTACAAAATTTGGATGCGTGGAAAATCTAATAATTTTAGGGTAGTTCCTTTGATTCGTTAAAATATTTGATATTATAACTGGTGCAATATTGGAGCCTACAGAGTTCAAAGGGTTAACTAAGTCCAATCCGTATAGCAGAAATGATTATACATAGCTCGGAGTCGTCGCTAACCTTGAAATACTCGTGAGTTAAGGGTTAAAGCCCTGGTCGCAAAGAAGTGAAAACTGTGCAATGTCTAATTGTAAAAGAGATACCCAGAGTGATCGGAATTGATCAGCGTATATAATATCCAAATAACGTCCTATTTGCGTGGAACATTACGCCTCCTAATCTTACACGCGTTATGCACACGGCGGTGTAAGAACAACGTTCGCCGCGTTATTTTCGTCTTTCATTTGACGACCGCGAACCACCCTTAAAGCCGTCGTCTCTCTTTTTATCACCCTGTATATAGTCTTCGGGTTCCCGCGCACCGAAAGGCGACGCGACGCGACGCGGCGCGACGAGGCCGAAGGAGGCACTCACGAGGAGGCATGCCTTCTAGAGCGTTTGTACAGGTTACGCGTTAGGTGCGTGCTCACATCGTTTCCGTGGGTTTTATCGAGTCGGGGAACGGACGTTTACGATCCTCGGACACCTACTCGAGGAGGCCTCTCCTCGCCTCACGTGGGTCTCCCGGCTCTCGAGCGTGTCCCGCCTCGACGGGCGAAAGCTCGATGGATTTCGATCGGCGGTCGATTTTAAATGCCAATAAAATTCCAGGCCAGACATAATTTCGACGGTTCTGCGATCCCGCGGAATCGTCTCGCTGATGGTTTCACGGCCCATCATTTGTTTCTGGAACTGTGAGAACTGCTCCATTAGCTGGGCAGTCTTCAACGATCGCGGTTTTCAATTTATTTCGTAGTATATTACCGCTCGCCTCTTAACACTTCGGACGCCTAATCAACGCGGAGGATCGCGGCGGCACTTGATTCAGTCGTTTCGAATAATTAGGCTGGGAATCCTTATGTAATATCGAGCCGAGCGCAAATCCGAGGTTCACATTAATTAGGAAACTTGTATTCCTTGGAAAATCAGGATCTATAGCGAGTATTGTGATGTACACTCGCGTTTCGTATGGTTCAGCCTGCTGGAATTCCTCTGTTCTTCCAGCTCTGTCGATTATAATTAGATTTCTTTTTGTAGACGCGTCACGTGTGAATGACGCTAGAACGTGTCAATTATTTTATTATCCTTGATACTTCTCGATCTCTTCTGCTTGTAAGTATTGAATATTTCTATGAAAAACTCGTTTGTCAAGTGATTCGAAGAGAGACTATTTTAACGTACGAAATCATTCGACGCTTTCGGTCCACTATTCATTGGATACACTCGTTAACTGATCAGCTCGTTCTTTATTCTCCATTATGACCCGCGTGTATGTTTGATTCATTGGCAACGACGATCGAAAGATTTCATTTGTTCTCCGGATAAAATTGCGTATGATCGAGACGAAGATTTTGAATAGAGCATTTTGCATCGAGCATCCAGAGTTTCGCTCGCGAGTCTAGAACGGCAGGTTGGCACCAGAAGACGTAGGCGAGCCGAACGTCTTCCACGGTTCTGTTCATGGTCAATGACACTTGGTCGACGATGTTTATAACGCACGCCGGCTATTTCGCATCGGATTCGAGCGGCGAGTTTCGCCCCCGAAACGCACAATAATTTACCTCCGAATATTCTCAAAGTAACCTGCTCGCGGACACTACTCGATAAACCAGTCGAATCCAATGAGCATTACCTACGCAACCTTACATCATCAGGGGCGAGCGAGTCCGGTGTAAAAAGTGTACGGTGTAAAACGCGAGAAGAAAATGGGAATAAAGACAGGTATACCTTCTTCCAAATAAGACGATAACGATAATCCGTTTAATCGTTTTCTTTGCGAAGAAGCCGCGGTTTCGGAGCCTGAGATTGATCAAGTTCGAGTATTTATATTATCTCTGAAGCGGAATAAATGTTTCTTTCTCGAAGACTATTAAGGGTAGAAAATTCGATTTTTCTGCTCCCTCGAGGCGGTAAAGGGATTAAGGGGAAAAAATCAACTCTGACCGGAAACCCGGTTCAAGGATCGTTCTCGCGCGCCATAACGCCGCCACAGATCATAACCGCGGACTTTAATGTCATCGGGAGAAAGGCAGAAGCTGCTGCGTGACCAGACACGAGCGAACACTTACGCGAGAATTTATGCGGAATCGTTAACCGCCGAGGTTTTCGAGCCGACGACTATTGGAGACATTGCTCGGACCGTTTCGCGCTTATTAACTTTCCGGCGCACTTGAACGCTGAACGGAGAAAGGGCGAGAAAACCGATTCCGCGGGCTTGATTCACGACACTGCGTTTAAATGAAATTTTATTCGACTCCGATTCAGGTTTCCATCGGACTCTGATAAGATTCTAATGCTACTTTCCTAATATTCCAACAAAATCCTTGCTTCTTTCTCGATTCTCTGAATCCTCTGTCGCTGCGAAATACAAAGTTTGCTTATAACGGAGTCCACTCGATTCGAAGGAGAAATTGAATTGCAGGTTTTTGCAATTGTTTGTTGGGGAAATAGTACCTTCAGTTTTAAACAACATATGATTATCGTCTTTGTTCGGTGTCGTACCTTCGTATCGAATGATTTATCGGTGAAACTGAGAGGGTTACGGGGAATAGAGAATTTTCGGACGAATACTGGAAAATTAGAAGGAACGATTGTTTGACGGAGGAAAGTTGAAGAAGACCTCGACTACCGAAGATCGATCTTTTTTACCGCGATCAGGAATCGTTCGCGACGAACATAAGGATTCCGGAAAGCCGGTGAACGTGGCCGTTGTCAGGCCACCCACGGGCTCCCATAAGTATGGCGCGAGGTACGGCCAGGTACGCACCATAAATCGGGATTTTATCTCGAAGCTGCCGGCCCTTGGCACGCCGGCAATTGCATAATCCTAAATTGGTCCTGGGCTCCGATGCAACGGGCTTCGAGTTTTGGGAACTCAAGGTCGACCTGTTTTTATTAACCCAATTTTCCCTCTGGCTGATCTAACGTTGGCGTCGTTACGCTTTGCCACTCGATCGTCTCTCTACGATACCACTGATTCTTCGGGAATCGAAGTGTATAAAGTATTTCAAAACTTGGTTGATTCTTTGCTAATAGTTTGTACGAATAATGTAATAAATACTTCGTTGTGTAAAACATGAAGATTTAAATGTAAAATTAAGGGTTGTTGAGACCATGAACACACGAACATCTAAACACTTATATCGCATCGAATTAATGGTATTAATTCTAAATTCATTGTTGCAGTACATCGTTAGTTTAAAAATGTTAACCCTTCGCACTTGATTTAATACGCCATAGAATTGAATATTTAATGTTTAATATTGAGCTTCATATAATGGATCGATACGTGAAATATTGGAACAAAGAAACTTTGCTCTTTACTCTATGTGATTTATCGTTCCTTTAAAAAATTCTTCTGTATCTTATCAGAAAATATTGAATATCTAATACAATACTTTTCGAGTGCAACAGGTTAAATCAACCTGACAAAACAATTCATTTAAAGATCCAAGCGATATCATGCTTGAAAGATATTCGGAATATTTAGTACGAAATTTTGCAGAGCAGGGCGTTTGTATTTTTACGTTACGTTTCCCTTGGCGAGGCAATTAATTGCACGGTCTTTTCGCTTGCTGTTTAAGGAGTCGCGTCGGGTCGCCGACGATGTCAGCGACGGTGGCCGGGAACCAGCAACAGCAGCACCCTCATCAAGAATGGGACATCAATGACTCGAATGTGCCGAGGGTAAGTATCCTCCCGCCGGCCAGGCGTAATTAAACGAGTCACCGATTCGCACTCTCGGGTAATCCCCACGCGTGGCCAAGGGAATGTTCGGCGTACCTTGGAAATTATTATAGTTCTCGACTTTCCCCAATTCCACAACAAAAACGCGGCCAGGTATGCCGTGAAGAATGCCGACTCCTTCCCAGGTGTAGCAAGGGTTTCGCACGAAACACTCACGGGGATAAAGAGAAATTACTTCGATATTAGTATGTTCCTCGCATCTGCTGTATGCAACTGGTACATTTGATACTGGGTTCACGGAACGCGTCAATTTGACGCAGATTGAATTTGGTAAATGTTTTAACCCCTTAACTTTTGGCGCTAAACAGGCCAAACTGAAAATAACAATGTGAAAGCAAAGAAAAAAAATCGTTTTATTGATATTTATCATTTACATGGGATTGTAAGCTATAACACTTATTTATTCAAGAATAAAATATAGCCTTTTTCCATGGAACAAAAGCGTAGTATATCAAAATTGATTTTTTTGGCCGGTTTTTTAAAAAAAACTGTGCCTTAAGGGGTTAATTCTGATTGTCTATTTCTATGTCTACAATTTCCAAAATCTAAATGAATGAATATCAACTTCCCCAGGAACAATAGAATAAACTGTACAATAACTGTCCGTGAACCTAGTGTTAACACGTTGAACGTCGGATTTCATAGAGCAAAACACAGAAAATGGGAAAAATATAATATCAAATCATTTCATTGAATTGCATTATTATTATTACGTGTTCATCTAACTGAACGTCGCCGCATTATGTAGTATTATTTGTAATATAGAAACTTATTTTTGAATAAGCAACGTTTGACTGAATGAACTATGGTAATTCGATTTGGTTGAGGGTCACCGGTGACCCGCGGCATTCAACGTGTTAACCAGTTAACTGTGGAATTTAGTTGGGAAAACCTCTGGTTCTGCGGGCAATAAAATTGAAAAATGGAGCGTGTGCTCGTCGAAGGACGAATGCACGTAGAGTATATTTTAATGAAAGATCAATGCGAAACAAAGAATTACATGTTTATGCGAGAAAATAAAGAATTCATGAAAGAATTAGTAGTTGTTAGTGCCATTTTTTAGGAGAAATATCGTCCTGTGGAAATCAAATTTGACGTTGAACAAGTTAGATTCTTTATGGCGCTCTCTTACAAAAATTTGTAAATTAATTTGAATCTACTGTACAGGTGAAAGTGAGAAACACGTCAGTTTTGTACGTTTCACTTTAATTACGGTTCAGTTTGATCTGAGAGCAATATAATTATTGTTTCGCGAAAAATTGGCGTGGATTAAATGCGTGAAGGCTAACTGCTAAAGCAATAATTGAAATCCTGACATGTTTCAATCAGGAGAGAACCAGTTTCCAAGATACGCGTCGTGAATGGGCATTGCGCACGTTCTCGTCAACTTTCGACGTTCGAGGGGCAGCGAGTAATTAAACGGACGGTTTGTTTCTAGGTGGTGGAGTACGATCCGTGGTGTGAATGGGCCGATGGCCACGTAAGAAGGGTCTATGGCCCAGATTGCGAGGAGGCGAGGAGGCACGCCTCCGGTTGGGCGATGAGGAACACGAACAATCACAATGTCAGTATTCTGAAGAAATCGTGCCTAGGTGTCCTGGTCTGCTCGCAGGAGTGCATTCTACCTGGAGGCGGGAGGGTCCACCTTCGACCGGCAATTTGTGATAAGGTAAGCGTCACATAATTACTATGTACAATGAAAAATAAAGAAACCACAGGGAGTTCTCACGAATTGATAAACTTTGTAAAACTGAACAGATTAGGAAGAATACTGTAGAATATATCAAAATGCTTTTCTCTCACAAAAGCAAAGATTTCTTGTAAAATACGTGGATTTAATTAATATCTAGGAAATGAATAGATAATAATTATTTTCAGTGACAAGAGCTCCCCATTTCACATAGTGTTCTATGGAAATATGATTTACAAACGCCTTTAAGATTCAATTAATAAGTAACCATTTTCAGTGAAAAGAACTCCCTATTTCACACAGTGTTCTATGGAAACATGATTTACAAAAGCATTTGAGATCCATTGTGAAAGTCGTTAATATTCATTTTCATTTACGAAGGAATTAAGAGCGAATAGTAGGATGCTTCGAAGATAATGGAAAGGATCTGCTCGTCTTTTAGGCAAGAAAGAAGCAGCAGGGGAAACCGTGCCCAAACAGGCAATGCACGGGTCGGTTGGAGATACTTTCGTGCCGCGGCCATTGCGGTTACCCCGTGACGCATTTCTGGCGGCACACCGAGCACGCGATATTCTTCCAAGCGAAAGGACAACACGACCATCCGCGGCCGGAAGCGAAGTCTACGTCTGAGGCGAGACGCAGCGTGGGTGCCGGAAGAAGGGTGCGAGGACTCGCGGTCCTTTTGGCCAACGAGGCCGCCTTAGGTTCAAAAGTACGTTTTCTCGAGCGGATTTTATCTTTCGTTCCTATAGGACGTCCCGAAGTAACTGTTCAGTATTTTAATAATTTATTTGAAACATGAAAAACAAATTTCGAAGTTACAATATTTCAATATTCGTAACGAAACAGTCGTATCATTAATTATTCAATTCTAATCGAATGCTGTATTGAATTCGAAGGTGAAACAATTTATTTGTAGTTGATATGAACATTTACGGCTTCATCAAAAATATATATTTTTCCTTGGATGTAAACGGTGAATAACAGCTATAGTTGATTATCAATTGAAACGCGAGGTGCTGATATTCTTTGGTAACAGTTTATAATAAACAAGTAATTAAAAACAGTAATTTCATATGAAATATGAAAAATGAAAATACTAATGTGACCTCTGTTTTCGAAATAACATTCTTATTCTGAGATCGACGTGTTCAATTGCAATTGTTAATTGTATTTTTAACTTTAGTCTGTATAAAGTGAAAAGGATATTTGCAACCAATATGGCGACTTACCGAAAGTGCAGCCTTGGCGGGAGATTCTTCTCTCTCGTCCAAAGAATAGTCTTGATCGATGGAAATGTACAATCTTGCTCGTTTGCTCACTGTAACGTAATTAATAAATAACTTTTCTATTCTTCACAGTTAATGTCGTTGAGAGGAACGAAAAGACCAAGTTCAGAGGCAATCGAACAACCACCGCGGGCTACCCAACCACCGCCACTAATTTCGGACAAAGGTTCATACTTTTTAGCCCTTAAAATGCTCTGTCTACACTCTCTCCGAATAAAAAGCAGTTCTACTAATTAGTTTCTGTGTAAACCATAAAAAGTCTGTGACAAATTACTTGTTTCTTACCTGAAAAACTATTTCACTCTGCACGACACCTCTCGCACTGATTTCCCGCCGGTGATTCTAACTTCTTCCGCTTGGCGGCGCCACTTCTCGGCGATAGTTACCGATTGCGCGCGCAAATTCGAATGAAATTCAGTCAACATTGAATGAAGGAACAGGCGTTCTTTAAATTGGAACGATAAAATCTGGAACATTAATAGAATCTTTAAACGTCTGATCAAAGGTAACATTATAGTCGATCATTTTATTTGAACTTCGTAATAATCACTTTCCAACGTCACAAAATCAAACCCTTTACTCCCTTTCGACGTACCGTACGTTTACAGTATTGTATTGTTGCAAGATAAACACAATAATATTACAAATAAACAATATAAATAATTCTATTCTTTTATTTTTTAGGATATTGCTCTTGTTCCCCGTTCAACTGTATGTGCGGCATGCAGACCAACATATCAACGTACCAGCAATCTCACCAACAACCGCCGGCGATGTATCCTCAGCAAACGCCATCGAACGAGACGCCATATTGGCTGCAGGACGCAGTTCAGCCGCAAGAGAACACCTTAGGCTACAACCTACCTATTCAAGTACCGCAAGAAGCATCGTACCCGGACTTCCCCTCGTTCACCGGCGAATTGTTCCAACCCGAAGAGATCTTCCAATTAGATCAACCCCTGCGACCCGAGTTCCCCATGAACTCGCAAGACGTGGCCAGGTCGCCGCCCACCTTGCTCGACCTGGGGAGTGGTACGATCAAGTATGAGATCAAACAAAATCAGGACCAGGCCTACTGGAACCAGTTCCTCAGCGAGGACTCGAGCAGCAGCCACTTGAGCATGCCCCAGGACGACAGGCTGCAGTTCCCAGGCTTCGAGTCAGAGAAGGACTCGAACGGATTCTGCGCGAAGAGACCGGTGAATCACTTCGTCCCCGACAAGGAGATCAACCAGAACCACCTGAACAACGCGATGAACTTCCAAGAGTACCAACGGAACCAGAACCACAAGAACTTCGTGGATGGAGCAGTGAAGAACGATCAGCAATCGGGCTACTGGAACCACCAGGACGACCGCTTGAACTTCCCCGGCTTCGATCCTCAGAAGGAGGAAGACCTGATGAGCTCGAGAAGGGACGCCAACTGCTGTCAACCCGGCCTGATGGAAAGCTACAACGTGTACCCGAAGAAGGAGAACGGAGTGGCAGATCCCGCCCGGCCCAATCGTAGCCCGGTGGAGAACAAACAGTACGCTTACGACGGTTACAACCAGATGTTCGAGCATTCCGAGAACAAGAACTACATGGCGAACCGATGTCAGCAGAACTCGAGCCGAATGGTCCTCGACGAGAGACTGCAGAACAATTTCGGCAGCCACGAGACGTCCGACTCCACCGAGAGACTCTTCCCAGATTCCAGCACCCTGGACACGTCGATCCAGTCGCAGAACAGCTCTGAACCGTTCTTCTACCCCAGCAACGACCGGTGCCACTATACCTGCGAGGTTCTGGACACGAGGCTGCCGCAGATGCCGATGAACGCCGGGAACACGCAAACGGGGATGAACAATTACAACGACGTTAACGTGAACGAACTCGACCTGCCGCCGTTCGTCGATTACACCCTCGTAGGGATGCTGTGCAGCTCCGCGGAGGAGGACACGTCGAACCTGTTGACCGGCTGCCAGCAGAACACGCAGACCTACGTCTCCCATCATTAGACCGACGCGACGATCTTGATTTGTATTATAAATATTGAATATACGGTATAGTTGCACCGCGCCGGTGACGAGTTCTCTTTCATTCTTCGTTTCGCCTTTTGGCTGGAAGAAGAGGTCGACTTGGCGATGACTGGAAATTTCGCAGCTTGAACTTTGCGGACGGTCCTCGAGGTTTTTGTAGCAGGTCCAGTGATACGTTCCGAGGAGGAAAGTCGGACACGTTCGTTCGAGGGGCAGAGACACTACTAGTCGTCGAGATGAATGGCGGAAGGTCTGAGTCGATTCTTCCTTCCGCGTGACTGTAGCTTCCTGGCCGATACCTGTGAAAGCTGGGCAAGATTGCGTTTGATTGAAGTTAATTGAATGTTCTTCGTCGACGGGCGTTTACAAGCCGAACAATTTCGCCCGACACTGTGTTCGAAAGACATCGTTTCGGCCGTGCAAGAGACTGAACAGTAACAGTCTAAAAGTATTACAACTTCGAGCAACACGAATGATCCCGTTTTGTTAATAAAGTACTTCGAATTGTTAATTCGATTGACTTAAATAAAGAATCTTTTGTTAAAGGATGTGTCGCATGTTCTTTCCATTGAACCCACTGTCCTGATACCTATAAAAACTGTAATCATTCAATGTACCTAAAAATACTACATTGCTTATATCATTATTCGCGAACCGAACAATTCACGATTTCATTAGACGCTAGCAACGACTATCGAAACAGCAAAAAGAAGTCGACGGTTCCAGGGAAATTGGTAGCCAGGTTCAAAGCACTCGAGTCGGCGTAGCTTGGAAAAAATTCACGTGGTTTATTCGTAATTTATTTATTCGTAACAGATACTCTCACGATCACAATTGTATGTACGTTATGTAATGTTATCATACACCTATTTTGCGTTACACTTTCTCGGATTACATGCGCGGTATTCATCTTTCTCCGTTAGTTTCGTTAAGTTTCATCGATCAGTAGCTGACCGCCTGTCGCGCGATTCGCTACGGCGAACCGCGGCGCCGCCGCGAGCGGCGAAACTCAAGGGAGACGAGAAACGGAAACGGGGCGGCGGGGTCCGCTCGAGCCCGATCGCCGAACGATCGACGGAGTCGCATCCGTTCGAAATCAAACGCGGCCACGAGATGCCGCGATAAGGATCGAGCTGGAATCCAAACTGAAACGCGCGTCGCCATTCCGCGCGAGGAGATCGCGCGGAGAAACTGACTGGAAAACGGCTAACCGAGAGACACCCGTCGGATCGTTCGTCAGCGAAGCCGTCTCGCGCGGACCCAGTTTTGGCTAGTGGATTCCTGTGTTCGCGCGCGGATCTGCCGCGCAACTGAGGGCTAAAAGTGACTCCCTAGGTGTGCATTTGTTCCCCGGAAGTGACGCGACCGAATTCACCGAAAGAATCCGCGAAGCTGCGCGCCGCGGGATCTGTTCGCACCGCGAGGCGCATCTGTCGAGCGGATCGAGAATCGTTCTGAACGGAACAGCTACGTCTTCCTCGTGAAAGTGGAACGGAACAAATCGGAAACGAAGAAGACCAAAAGAAAAGGAAACTTCGGCACTGTCGAAAGAAGCGAACCTAAAAATACACGTCGCCTAACGCTACTCTCTCTCTCTCTTCATTCTGCGTTCTTCATCATTCTTCCTTCCTGCTTTCGCTCAGCTCGTACGCGATGTACGGCGGACCTCTCGCGTATTACACCTCCCTAAGCGTATAAATTTTGGTCGGTAAAAAAAAGAGTATTTCTATATATTATATCGAATTACATAGTTCCTTTGTCGCCTATACACGTCGCGCGTAAAACAAACCGTATCGTTGGCTACGCTCGTATCGCAAGTCGCGGTATTATTCTTCATTTCTTCTGTTCTGCCTTTTTTTTGTTTGTTTTGTCCGTTATCACCCTTTCGTTCGCAGGCGCCAGGCAAAGAACGGGGGAGAAACGTTCGGTTTCGTTCGGAGAATCGCTGGAAAGATCGAAACGCGACTCCGTTCGACGCTCGTCGCTTCTCTCCTCTCGCGATCGCGCGTCGGATCGATTTTCTCTTCTCTCCCCGTTCTTCGATGATCTCTCTCGTTTCGAGATTCGCGAAACTCGCGGTGTTTCCTTTCTTCTCGCACCCGCACAGCTATCGTAACCAGGCACGTTGTTTTGATATTCGGTTCCGCGAGCACGCGCTTCGGACCAACGAGAAATCGGGGAACGTCGAACGCGACGCGAAATCATCGTCGGAAAGGGATTCTCGGATCGTCCAGCGTTCGGAACGGTGAACGGAAGTCCTCCGATTTCGAGCGTTCTCCGGACGAGGAAACGTCAGCGCGTCGTTGAAGAAAATGTCGGGTTGCTGCGCAAGTTTTCACTGGAAATGAGCCAACGCGTCGATTTCCAACAGACACGAGATTGCAAGGAAAGGATAATTGAACACTTGTTCGAATGTTCGATTACTTTCAGGTCACATTCTTTGGTTCCTGTGAATTCGGAAGCATACGAGCGAGAACTGACGGGACGTCGCGCGCTGGTTCAAGAGAGTTTCGTAAGATGTGGGTGGAGCTTCGCGTCGGGCGCAGCTCGGACGAAATGGAAGAAACGATCATGTATAGCACCACACGCTTCCAAGATAAAATCAATTGGCTAATTACACGTAGAAAACTCTCAATCTTTCTTCTTCTGTTCGCTCGATCGAAGTCACGCCCACACGTTACCAAACGCTGTTCTTCGCGGAGACACGAGCCGCCACGCGAAAGCAAGAAAAATCCAAACGTGAACTCGTTTCGGTAATAAATTCGATCGATTTTCATCGTAGAAGGCACTACTCTCTTTTATTATTCAATGGACAAAAGTGAGAAATAAAAGTTTCAACGCACGATACAGGGTACTTCGGAGCTGAAGTTACAAATTAAATACCGCAACTTCTCCGCGATAAACGCGGGACTTCCGCAGCAACCGGGCCGTGCGAATCTTCCGAGGGAATTCGCCGGCTTTGATTCTACTAGAAACTTTCACGAATGGATGCGGCGCGAAGAAACTAAACCGATTGCTCCGATCTTCCGTTTGTTCTCGATTACATCGATTAAATTCGAGGAAATCATCCGTCGAATCTGCCTCTTAGTCCTATCAACGAATCCTGAAGAGACTTTGCAACTCCGAAACGATTAAACGAAAGTGAAAAAAGGGTGTGTTGCGGAGTCGCTTCCGTGAATTTCCGTCAGATCAAGGTCCTAAAGATCAAGATATATATTCAAAAATGTATTTCACGCGTTTCTTCGACTCGAACCGATCGATCGATCCGAGACTAAACGACGAGAGCAATCTCCAGTTTCCACGCGAAGGGACGAGGATGTCGAGGTAGCTGTCGGTGCATAAATTGCAGCGTCGAGTGACCGTCTAACGACGTTGCAGTTAAATGCTCGTCCAGCGTCCCTCGGGACAAGGTGCAGGGTTACGCGAATCAACGCAGTTAACACTGGAACTACCCAGTGAATTGGCTTCTGAATTTTTCAATGGAAACTCCGAGAATGTATCTACCGAGATTTAAATTGATTTATAATTCAGTTCGATGACTAAACTGCTCTATTCGTTTCTCGGAGAAGCATTTGCTACCTTATCAATAATTGTAAAAGGATTTGCGAGCAGATCATTTTGACCCATTCGACAGTTCTAGTGCTACCTTATGAATAATTGTAAAAGGAGAATTTCGGAATCGTTTCGACCCATTTGGTAGTTCCAGCGTTAAATACGGTGTACCTAATTGTACAGTGTTCGTACGTTCTACGGATCGGTTGGTGTAACTGTGCAGAGAGTGACGGCTCGAGCGGCCCCGAAGCTGTCTCTGTTCGTTGGCCCTTCGAAGCTGCGAAGAAAATTGGACTAATAGGAACCGTGGATCGCGTGCGCGTGCACTCGGCTCTCGCGTGAGCGTAAAAAGAGCGTCTCTATGGTCTCGAAATAACGGGAACCGGCATCGCCTCGTTCCCGATCACCTTAACGTACAGGATATGCAAAAACGTGCGGACAAAATTTGTATATTGTATATCGACGAGTTCAGCGGATGATGGAAGTACATACGAAGTCGTATCTGTAAACGCCCCCGAGGATTTTCGTCGGTCGCGCCGAACCGTTGATTGAAAAAGTGGACCGGCCGCTCCCGCGTAATCTCTCGCGAAAGGAATTCGTCGCTTTCCTGAGAAAGTTCACACTCGTTGGATTACTCTTAAAAAGAACGAACCGTTTAAGTCTACGCGAATCGTGTCACTTAACTCTACCAAATACGTCGTTGCGAAGCGTTAAAAATGAGAAACACATGCTAATCGGTAAAACCAAAACGAAACCGATTGTCTACGGCACACTTACATTCTACCGAATAAAATCAGAACGCTATAACCTACATTCCGTTCAAAGGGAAACAAAATTTTTGCAAACTTTCAGTCTTACAGGTAACTTTCGAACGCCAGCGATCTCTCGATCGAACAACAAGATCTTCCCAGACAGGAGTTCATATGTATCTGCACCAACCACTCGTTCCCTGAACGTACTCGATCAATTTTTCTCCGAACGTCCCCGAGGAGAACGCGACCCGCCCTCGATATGAGCTACCGGGTGGACGAAAAACGGGGGACCATCGTACGACGGAACCGAAAGATCGAAGGTACTGTCCGACGAATGAAAAGGAACGCTCGATTTCTCGTGCACAGTGTGTCTCTTGGCGAATCGACGCGACGACAGATTGACGATCGAAGCTTCGCGGGAGGGACGAGGGAGGAGATGTAGCTGTGAGAAGGGGCGAGGCGTGGGTGTCGGAGGAATAAACCCGCGCCCGGTAAAAATTCGTGCTAAATCCGTGCATAATGCGTGCGTGTTCCGCGGGTGCTATTTTTCACGTTTCGTTGAAGAAAGAGGAATCGTTTAAAAATGGGCTACGTTGCGCTACGTCAGAAGCAGGTGCGCCGTTCTCTCGACAAGCTCGAGCTACAACCTACCAAAAACGATCGTTTTGCTTCGTCTTTTATCTTACTTATCAGCATCTTTCGGCGGGCCACCGTTGAACGCGGGCGGCGTCGCTCGAACTCGAAAATTCGGGTAACGGCGAGCGAGCGTGCGAGCGATCGGGTCCGTCCCCGGAACCCGCCCGGCGACGCCCGGCGTTCCGCGCGAGGAAAAAAGCGGAACGGAGCCGGAACAGCGCCCGACCGGATACCGGGTCGCCGCTCGCCGCGCCCCAAGGAATTAAGATTAACTAACGACTAAGTAGTGAAAACGTCGAGTCTAACGATCACAGCTATTGTACGATACTATGAGTGCTTAAACTGTCGCGGAGAAACGATAATAGTGGTAAACGGTACGGAATCGGATTGATCAAAGAACGGACCTCGCGAGTGATCTGT